CTGGGAATCAGGGTCAGAGTGCTCAGTAATCCAGGCACTCGACCCCCACAGCCGAGAGAAGGAAGTATGGCTACTGTTCCAGCTGGGAGCAGACCTTGGCATCATCCACATGGCAATAGTTTTAGGTGCATTCAGAATGCAGGAGTTCTGCGGTTAAGAAGGCTTCCACCTCGATTTCAGAAGAAGGCCTGGGAAGCCAGGCAGTGTGCCCTTGAGAGGGCAGTGTGTGGAGCTGTGAGAGAGAATCCTATTCTGTGGAAACCCCAGAAATTTGGAAAGGTCAGGAACGTGGATCATCTGAGGGAAACTGCAAAGAGGGAGCAAAGCCAGCCTAAGAGAGACTTCATGGGGGAGCTACCACTTCAAGTGCCTTAGGGATGCAGCTATGTAAGGCCTTTGGAGCTCACACCTCATGGCAGATTGCTTGGGATGTCCCACATGGAACTGCAGGACTTAATGTCTGCCCTGCTGGTTTTTGTACTTGTGTTGGTCCCAATGGTTTGCATCCTGCTGTGTGTACCTTTTGGAATGGAAGTGTTTATCTTGTGCCTTGGAATGTTGCAAGTGTTTGAGTTTTCACTTGTACATGGGCTCACAGTTGAGAGTTTGCTTTGGATCTTGGAGGAGATTGGGACTTGAACTTTTCAGCAATGTTGAAACTGTTGGGACTTTGGCAACTCAGAGATGGTCTAGAATGTCTTTAGCAGAAAGGGATGTGCTTGAGTCTTTGGAGATCCAGGGGTGGAATGTTAGGGTTTGTGTCTAGGTGTCCCCCCAAAGCATCATGCAGTCATGGGGCAGCTTCTGGAGTTTGTGAATGATTACTGTGGGTGTGGATGCAGCACCTGCTCTGGGACAGGTAATTTGCATCATAGTGTAAGGTGGGAAGAGAAGCTAGAAGCTTGAGCTGCTGCTACTTCTCCTTTTTGTTCTTGCTCTTTGCCACCGTCAGGAAAGTTTGCCCTCTGCTGTGTGCTGCTCTGCCTTGGAGCCAGCTGAGTGTGGACTGAAACCTCCAGTAACTGTGAGCTAAATAAACCTTTCATTCCTTCATTTTGTGCATTGGGTATTTGTCCCAGCAGTGAGTAAAAAGTAACTAAGACACCTACATAAAGGACATAAGTTTCGTTTATCAATAAATTCATCACAAGAGGTTGCTCAAAAGAGGAAATGCAATTTTCTTGACTTGGGGCAGAAAAATAAGTTATAAGGTTAGAAAGGCTGTTATGTATTGATTTCTTCCAACACAGCATCCCTCGGCCTCTTAGATGATAGTGTAAGGATCTGCTGGACCAAATCCTTGTGTTCTGCTAAGGCAGTTACAATAAATTTGTTTGGTTTTCCATTTCCAAAATTAATAGGTCTATTCTATACTGTCCCCTAAACCATATAATCCATTTGTTTTGAAATTCATTCATAGTTTAAGAATCATACATTCCTAAGATTTTAAGTCACACCAGCCCATCTTCACTCTATTTAGAATTAATTTATCATTTCACAGACCTTATCAGACCCAAAGGCTACAACTCTTGTTGCATAGGTCCTGCTTTACCTTGGCCTTAACCATCCAGCAGAAAAGTATAAAAATAAAATATAAGAAGTAAATCCATGCTGTTATGTAGAGGACTCAGGTCAACAATTTCATTGACATTGCCAGTCAAGCAGAAGACCCAATACTATTATGGACTACTGGACTCTTTTAGAATATTTTGCTGAGTTAAAACACCTATAATATTCAAATAACAGAACTAAACAAAAAA